TGGAAACAACCCAAAATGCCCAAAAATAGATGACTGGATCAAGAAGATGTTTTATATATACACAGTGGAATATTAACTCATAAATCAAAAAAGATCAACTCATGACATTCGCAGCAATGTGGATGGAGCTAGAAGGAATTATGCTCAGTGAAATAAGCCAGAAGGAAAAAGAAAAATATCAGACGGTTTAACTTACAGGAGGAATATAGGGGAACCAAATAAGACATCAGTGTAAAAAAATAATAACAATACAAAACAAAAACAGATAATTATAAATCCGACACATACTTCAGGGGAGGAGGAGGGAGAGGGATCAGAGGGAAGGAGGAGCACAGGGGATTGTGGTGATGGTGCATGGGTGCACTGGTGAAAGAAATTCTATGAGGACTACACTGGGGGTTGGGGGGAGCAAATATTGTTTAAAAATGAACAATGATGTAAATATTAAAAAAAAAATCCTAAAATATGAGCAAGCATCAGGGATACTGAGTTCCTACTGTTGGAAAAGATTTGTGCTCCAAGTAGGCATTAAGAAAGAAGAGGTTAAGAATGAATGAGTTGTAAGAATGAATCCCCTTCAAAACCAGGGACATGTAATATGCAGAATTTTGAGAAATTTCCCTTTCAATATTTCGTTAACCTGATAGTCCACAGACGACCTGATTAAAAAAACTTCCCTTCCCTGCATATGTCTCTCCTACAGTACTTACTATAACATGCTGGCATCCCATGATAGCATCACTCAGTGCTTCTGGCACTAGCCACATGGTATCTTTCTCATCTCTATGTGATTTGTGTGTCTCTTATAAGGACAATTGTCAGTGGATTTAATCAAGAGTGATCTGGTTAGTACAGAATAATCTTGTGATTCTTAATTATATATATAAAGATACCTTTTCCAAATAAGGTCACATTCATTGCTATTGAGGGGTTAAGGAATGGACATATCTTTTGGGGCCACAATTAAATCCATTATACTTTGTTCCAATAAAATATTTTTAAGAAAATATCATGGGTCAGGTTTATATTTTATACACAGTAGTTTGTTGATCCCTGATGTAGAGAGTAGATTCAGACATAGGGAGCAATAAATAAAAAACATCATTGCAAAATTAAAAGAAAAATTAAATATAACATGTTTTCTAAATTAAAGCTGACTTTGTTCTAAAGATTCACCTACTAGAAGGTCCAGGAAAATTATATCACTCAGGTTCAGCACAGTTTCCCCAGACCATGACTGATATAATTGTCAGATTCATCCACCATCATGCCTCTCTCTCTAACATAGATTTTTCCTATGCCAATGTGCCAATTAAAGTAAGCCTATCTTAGCATGAAAAGAGGATCATGTGAAGACTCAGTCATGAACTGTACTTTGGTTCTTGTGACGATACTTCCAATAGCCTTCACAGAGAGAATACAAACAATTATGTTACTCAGGTATGTGATTATCACCCTTTTGACCACAACAGCATAATGTAAACTCAACAAGAATGGCCTCTATTCCATGTGGCCTCTCATGTAGCATCCTAGCTCTAACCTAGCTATTGTCTGTTAGAAACAAGATATAAGAGAGTGAGAGGGAGATGCACTGCTTTGCAAGGCCTAAGGAATTGGTACACAGTTAGGTGCACTTACTGCTCAAAGTGAACCTAAATCACTGGTTTGGTTAATGAAGATGAAAAGGCATATAGCAATGGTTACAAATATAGGTATAGAGGAAGAACTCAGCATTTTTTGCAAATGACCAATTGCACTTACCACTCTCCTTTTCTCTCATAAGAGTTCCCCTGTTGGCCTCTTTTGCCTCCCACTCACCACCTCTAAGGGTCTTATCTTATCCATTATGCTTAAAAGACCAGGCATCTAGGTCTACCCCTTTTTCTCTTCTCTCCTTGGTCTCTGTTTGAAGGGGACATAGGATCCTTTCCAGCTGACTTTGGTCTAAAGATGCTCAGCTATGCCAAAAAATTGTGCCACATGTGGATCTGAATTATGAGTAAATTATGCCAAGCTGACATGTTCAGATAAGATTCCTTTTTGGTCTTTTTTTGACAGCCCAAGTAAGCATCAGTCCCCTAGGAGTCTATGTAATTTACTTGTTGTTCAATTCCGTATTATCCTTCTATGCCAATTAGTCTCCTGAAACTTAGAAGCAACACAGTTTGCCCTATATTTTCTCTGTCTTCCTTTTAGGGAGGCCCAGAACTAGGCTGAGGTAAGAAAGCTATCTAATCTGTTCACTTACCAGCTGTAAAAATAGGCCTCAATAACTATAAAAGCCAGCAAAAGCAAAAACAAAAACAAATAAAATGAAACCACAACATCACCTGTGGGAAAAGTGGAAACAGTTCAACTCTCTAAGGCACTGATACAGATATCTTTCTTAAAATAGGGAAATTTAAACTAGCGAAATAGGCAGACAAAAAAAAAAAATACATGGCACCTTGAGGCCTCAAGGGACTATGATATCACAAGGAGAGAAAAGCTCTCCAGAATATAATGACAGAGACAGGGAATATTGCATTTCCCTATTAGATAGAGGTCAAAATTTCTACAATGAAGAATATCAAAGGGATAGAAAGAAAATACAGAAAGACAAGTCAAAATGGAACAAGAACATTCAAAGAAATGAATCAAAGTAACAACAGAAAACAGAAAAACAAATTAATAAGCTCAGGAAAAAAATTAACAGATGGTAGAAAATTGAAGGTTTAAATAAAAATCAACAGAGATTCAGGATGTAAGTGAATCAATAAATGAGATCAACAACTAGAAAAAAATATGGAAGCAGAATAGACCAAATAGAGGCTCCATTAATGACCTTGAATACATAGAGGAAAGGCAACATAAGAGTGATGGGTATCCCAGAGGGGGATAGACGTAGAAGAGAACAGAGAACTTATTCAAAGAGATATTAGAGGAAAACCTCCCAAACTGGGGAAAGAATTAAATATTCAAGTTTACGAAGCTAAAAGAACCTGGCTATCTAATTACAATGAAGACTATACCAAGACATATATAGTACTGAAGCTACCAAGAGCTCAAGACAAAAGAATGAACACTGACTGTGAGTGGGGAAAAAGAAAGTAACTTAAAAATGTACTCCATCATTTTAGTCAGATATAATATAGGCAAGGAACAGATGGAATGACATATTGAAAATATTCATATATAAAAACCCTCAACCGGGCATCCCCTGATGGCACAGTGGTTGAGTGCTGGACTGCGAAACTGCCTGCAGCCTCTGCAGCACTGGTTCAATCCCTGGCCACCAGGTGAGGGTCCCACATGGAGAGACAGACCTCTCCTGTCACGCCCACTGCTCCCCTCAGCAGTGTATTTCATCAGTCTGCCTGTTCTGCTCCCTGCTCTGGCTCTGGTGAATTCTCTCACCCTCCCGCGCTTCTGACTGTACCCAGTGCTTGTATAAATAAATAAATAAATCTTAAAAAAAAAAAAAAAACAAAACCCTCAGCCAAGAATGCTATATCCTGCAAAATTCACTTTCAGACATGAGGAAGAAATAAAGGCCATTCCAGAAAAACAGAAGTTGAAGGATTTTGTTAATGTAAGGTCTCCTTTACAAAAATATTGAAAAGAGCTCTTCTATCAAATTTGAAGAGAACAAAATCCACAAAAAAATATGAATGAGGAAATAGAAACAGAAAATTAAAGACAAAATGGCAGTGTCAAATTCATATATATTAATATTCACCCTTAAAGGAATGGACTGAACTCATCAATCAAAGGGCACAGAACTGATTGGATCAAAAAAATAAACCTACCTTTCTGCTGTCTCTAGGAGACTCATCTGAGCTCCAAAGATAAATATAGGCTCAAAATAATAAGCTGAAAAAGGATCCTACAAGAAAATGTTACCCTAAAAGTGCAGGGACATTATATCATGTAAAATAGACTTCCAACTAAAAAAGATAACAAGTGATAGTGATAGACATAGAATAATGATTAAAGGATTAATACATCTGGTGGACATAACACTTATCAATATATATGTACTAAATGAAAGAGTATAAAAATATTTACTGCTAATAAGGCTAGAAATGAATATTGACAGCAATACAACCCACTGCAACAATGGGCAGATTAACCAGAAGGAAAACAACAACAACAAAAAAATCACTTAAACTATGAAGTAGAGCAGATAGACTTAACAGACATTTATGGGGCACTGTTTCCCGCCCCCCTAAAAAGATCTGAATAAACTTTTCCCCCCTCAAGTGCACATGAAGCATTCTCTAAAATATAACATATGTTGGGTTATAAGATTGTGTCATTGATCGGTGAATATTGAAATCATATCAAATATCTTCTCTGATCAGAATGCTGTGAAACTAGAACTCAACCACAAAAAACTTAAAACCCCCCTAAATATGTGGAGACAAAACAACATGCTACTGAATGATTATTTGGTTAACTAGGAAATTAAAGGAGAAATTAAAAATTATCAGCAGAGGGGCCTCTCTCACCACAGGTTAAAGTCTTAGCTCTATCAAGCTATCACCAGCCACTGAAGCATGAGTTTGTTCCCTGGCTAGGGAGCTAACCAACATGGTGCAGCAGACCTCTCCTGTCTCGCCCACTTCTCCCCTCAGTGGTTTATTTCAGTAGATCTGCCTGTTCTGCTTCCCACTCTGTATTTGGTGAATCCTCTCATGCCCCCCTGCACCTTTGCTCTCTACCCCAGTTCTTGTATGCATAAATAAATAAAATAAATCTTTTTAAAAAAGAAAAAAATTATCAGCAGAAAAAGAAATTAAAAACATGACTTATGAGAACATATGGATACAGCAAAAGCATTACTAAAAAGGAAGTATATAGCAACAACAGACGAGATCAAAAAACAAGAAGGAACTCAATCTAACTTTATAAAGAACTAGAAAAGAACAAATGGAACCAAAAATCAGGAGGAGGAAAATAATGAATATTAGAGCAGAAATAAACAGAAATCAAAAGGATGCTACAAACTTAGAACTTACCGAAGAGTAGAAATTATAACAGATGTTTCAGATATGCAGAGAAATATGTCAAAGTAAAGAAAATCTGTAAAAAATTGAATAAGGGGATTGTTAGAATCAGAAAATTAAAGACAAAAATGGCAGTAGAAAATACCCATAGATGTAAATGGACCAAATTATCCTAAATATAAATGGACCAAATTTGCCAGAAGGCACACAGTGGCTGGTTGGATTAGAAAACAAAAACCATGCCAAATCCACAGCTACCAGATATTTAATGTTGAAAAATTGAAAGTTTTCCCTTTAATATCAGGTGCATGGCAAGGATGTCCATTTTCACCACTGTTATTCAAAATTGTCTTGGAAGTTATAGCTAGAGATATTATGTAAGACAAAGATATAAAAAGAATCCAAATTGAAAAAGAGGTAAAGAAGCAAAACTATCACTATTTGAGATGACATGATGATCTACATAAAAAACCCCTCGGGATTTGACTAAAAAAGCTGTTAGAAACAATAGTCAGTACAGTAAAATGGTAGGCTACAAAATCAATAAACAACATAGAAAATCAAGTCTGTTGTAGTCCTATATACAAATAATGAACTAGAAGAGAAAGAAATAAACATTCCATTTATAATAACATCAAAAAAATTAGATACCTAGGTATAAACCAAATAAGGGAGGTGAAAGACATGTTTAAAAAATCAACAAGATATTAAAATAAATAAAAGATAAAAACAAATGGAAAGGTATTGCTCATGGATTTGAAGAATTAATATAGTTAATATGGTCAATTTATCTAAAGCAATAGAGATTCAGGGCAACCTTTATCAAAGTTTCAATGGAATTCTTGAAATAGAGCAAACATTACTAAAAATCACATGGAACCACCGAAGACCCTAAATTTCCATAGCAACTACAACAACAAAATGAATGGAGGTACCACACTTCCAGACTTCAAACTATACTATAAAGCAATAGTAATAAAAACAGCATGCTAATGGAATAAAAAGAGACACAATGGAATTGAGAGTCTAGAAATAAACCCATACTTATATGGACAGCTAATCTATGACACAGGAAGTAAGAGAATACAATGGAGAAGAGAAAGTCTCTTCATCAAATGGTGCTGGGAAAACTGGACAGCCACATACAAAAAAAATGAAATCAGAACATTCTTTCACATCACACACAAAAATTAGCTCAAACTGGATTAAGGACAGATGTAAGACAAGAAAATACAAAATGCATAGAAGAAAACACAGGCAAAATAATCCATGACATTGGCTAAAGGGATGTCTTTGGGGACATAGCAAGTAAAACAAAAGCAAAATTATCATTAAAACAAAAAGCCATCCTACTGAATTGGAGAAAATATCTGTACATCATATATCTAAAATGGAGCTGATATCTCAGACCTAGAAATAACTCATACAACCCAACAAAAAGAAAACAAAAAAATCTAATAAAAAAGGGGCAGAAAAACTAAATAGACACATCTCCAATGAAGACATACAGATGGTCAATAAGTACATGAAAAAAAGTTCAACATCACTTGTCATCAGAGAAATGCAAATTAAAACTGATAACGGAACCCAGCCACCTTAGCAGTCGGAGCTGGCATTAGCAGTGGTATTCTCTCACTCTGCTGCTCCATCACAAGTCAGTTGTGGCAGGTGCTCCTCAGAGCCCAGTAACTGCCCTTTTGTCACCTGTGACAGTTGTTCTTCAGAGACCTTTTATGTAACAATATACTTCCTGGATTATGGAATGTACCAATCAGGTGTGAGCTATGAGCTGATTGGTGCTAAATGGTTGGAAAATGGTCCAATCAGACTTGTGGGTGGCACACCCTGAAAGAGCATATAAGCCAGGGTTGGAGGGAGTTAAAGGAGGGGTGATGCCAGCTCCCAAACAGGAGAGATAACTGCAATCCCTGAACAGGACAGATAGTTCCAACCTCCGAAGGAAGAAGAAAGAAGGGGAAGACTCCATTCCTGGCCTCTGAAGAAAGAAGAAAAGAAGCATCTAGCAGCCAGGCTCCAAGAAGGGAAGAAAAGCTGAAGAGTTCTGTCAAGAGACCAGGCCTCTGGTTCTGTCTCTTACATTGCCTGAAGGGAGCACCAAAGGCCAAGGGCCTGGTACTTCAAGGAGCTGTTTGTTGTTGGTGTAGCCTAACTAACTCACAAAGAGCTGTAACACTTGGTATCTCTGACAACACCTCTGAGGGACCAGTAGTGATCATCACTAGTGGCCAGTGCTGTCCAGCATTCCTGGTAACTTGTTGTGACCATCACTGATGCTATCTGGGTAAGATAGCTGCCACTTGTGGATACAGTAAGCTCTTTGTTTCCCCGTTTGTAAAAAAAACCCCATGGTCATTGTTCCTGGAGCCTGAGGTCTCACAGTTATGTACCTGAGAACACACAGGCAGTGACCTGTCCTCTTATTGGGCACTGTCCTTTGTTAGGCTATAGCTCATAGGCCCTTCTTGTATCAAAGAATACAAAAATCACTAATTTGAAGGGATATATGCCCTCCTAAGTTCCTTGTAGCACTATATTTACAATAGCTAAGTTTTGGAATTAGCCTAAATGCCCATAGACAGGGCAGTAGGTTGAGAAGCTGTGGTATAGATACACAATGGAATACTACTCAACTGTTAAAAAAAGATGAATTCTTGCTATTTGTGACAACATGGTTGGAACTGGAGGGAACAATGCTAAGTGACACCAGTCAGAAAGAGAAAAACAAGTACTGGATGATTTCACTCATATAAAGAAACAAAGGAACAGACTCAATAAACCCTAGTAATATGACTGTAGTCTGGAGGCTACTAGAGAGGAATGGTGGGAGTTGGGAAGAAATGCATCTATCACAGAGAACATGGGTGCCTTGGTGGAGGGTGTGGTGTGATAATACAGATCTGAAGAAGTTGAACATATTCTATTAAATCACATGCAGTATTTTATTATTATTATTTTAATTTCATATATTATTACATCATTTTTCATTTTTGCATGATGTATGCATTTTCATCTTGGTTATAGTCCCCATACAATTCCCAATCCCCCATGTTTTGATCCTACTCTCTGCCCCCCTCCCCATAGTGTGTCTCTGGTTTATAGTTGCTTGTTGATTTTGATTTTTACTTTGTATTAATTAGTCTTTTTCCTGGTCCCTTCTTTAGGTTTTCTAAATTCCTCCTATGAGTGAGACCAATCTGGAATTTTTCTTTTTCTTTCTGGCTTATTTCGCTAGCATGATCCCTTCCAGCTCCATCCATGTTGCTGCAAATTGTGTAAGTTTAACTTTTTTGATTGCTGAGTAATATTCCATTGTGCATATGTACCACATCTTCTTGATCCAGTCATCTATTCTTGGGCATTTGGGTTGTTTCTATAACTTAGCTATTGTAAATAGTGCTGCTATAAACATAGGGGTGCAGATGTTCTTTGGAATTGATGTTTCTGTGTCCTTTGGGTAAATACCTAGGAGTGGAATTGCTGGATCATATGGAAGCTCTATGTTTAGTAGGTCCAGAAATCTCCACACAGCTCTCCATAGTGGTTGGACCAGTTTGCACTCCCACCAGCAGTGCAGGAGAGTTCCCTTTTCTCCACATCCTCACCAACATTTGTTGTTGCTAGTTTTTTTAATACATGCCATTCTCACTGGTGTAACATAGTATCTCATTGTAGTTTTGATTTGCATTTCCCTGATTACAAGTGATGTTGCACATTTTTTCATATGCCTGTTGGCCATTTGCATTTCCTCTTTGGAGAAGCTCTTAGGCCCATTTTTTGACTGGATTATTTATTTATTTATTTATTTAGTCTCATCAGTTCTTTGTAGAGTTCATTTTTGTGCTTTGGTGAGAGGTAGTAGCTAACCTTCATTCTTTTACATGTAGTGACCCAGTTTTCCCAGCACCATTTATTGAACAAACTTTCTTTGCTCCATTGCATATTCTTTGCTCCTTTGTCAAAGATTAGTTGACATAAATCTGTGGGTTTACTTATGGATATTCTATTCAGTTCCATAGATCGGTGTGTCTGTTCTTTTCCAATACCATGCAGTTTTGACAATTATTGCTTTGTAGTATAGTTTGAAGTCTGGGAATGTGATACCTCCATTCCCTTCTCTTTTTTTTCAGGAGAGCTTTGGCTATTTGGGGTTTTTGGTAGCTCCATATGAATTTCATCAAAAATTGTTCCATTTCTTTGAAAAATGTCATTGAAATTTTTATTGGAATAGCATTGAATCTGTAAATTGCTTTTGGTAGGATGGCCATTTTGATAATGTTAATTCTTTCCAACATATAAACTGGGGATGCTTTACATTTATTTGTGTCTTCTTCTGTTTTTTTTTTTTTTTAAATAATGTTTTATAGTTTTCTTTGTATAGGTCCTTTACCTCTTTTGTTAGGTTTATTCCCAAGTATTTTTTTTTTTGGTTTCAATTATAAAAGTGATGTTTTTTTTTTATTTCTTCCTCTTCAGATTTATTGTTTGTGTATAGGAAGGCTACTGATTTTTGCATGTTGATTTTGTATTCTGCTACTTTACTAAACTGATCTATTAGTTTGATTAGTTTTTCTGTGGAGTTTTGGGGTTCTCTATGTATATTATCATATTATCTGTGAATAGTGATAGTTTAACTTCTTCCTTGCCTATTTGGATTCCTTGTATGTCTTTCTCTTTTCTTATTGCTCTGGCTAGGACTTCCAGTATTATATTGAAAAGCAATGAGTGAGAGTGGACATCCTTGTCTTGTTCCAGATCTTAATGGAAATGCTTTTAACTTTTTGCCATTGAGAATGATATTGGCTATGGGCATGCACAAAAACCAACTCAAAATGGATTAAAGAACTAGGCATAAGACCTGAAACCATAAAATATATAGAAGGAAATATAGGTGAAACACTACATGACATACACCTCAGTAACATCTTTAAGACACATCACCCAAAGCAGTGATAGTGAAGGCAAAGATAAACAGCTGGGATTACACCAAATTAAAGAGCTTCTGTACAGCAAAAGAGATAACAACCAAAATAAAGAGACACCCCACTGATTGGGAGAAAATATTTGCATAAAGCACTAATGACAAAGGACTGATCACAAAAATCTACAAAGAGCTGATGAGACTAAAAAAAAAAAAAAAACAAAACAAAAAGTAAACAATCCAGTCAAAAAATGGCCATAAGAGCTAAAAAGAAACTTCTCCAAAGAGGAAATGCAAATGGCCAACAGGCATATGAAAAAATGTGCAACATCACTTGTAATCAGGGAAATGCAAATCAAAACTACAATGAGATACTATGCTACACCAGTGAGAATGGCACATATTAAAAAAAACTAGCAACAACAAATGTTGGTGAGGATGTGGAGAAAAAGGAACTCTCCTGCACTGCTGGTGGGAGTGCAAACTGGTCCAACCACTATGGAAAGCTGTGTGGAGATTCCTCAACCTGCTAAAGATGGAGCTTCCATGTGATCCAGCAATTCCACTACTGGGTATTTACCCATAAGACATAGATACATTAATTCCAAAGGGCACCTGCCCTCCTAGGATTATAGCAGCACTATTTACAATAGCTAAGTTATAGAAACAACCCAAATGCCCAAGAATAGATGACTGGATCAAGAAGATGTGGTACATATGCACAATGGAATATTACTCAGCAATCAAAAAAGTTAAACTTACACAATTTGCAGTAACATGGATAGAGCTGGAAGGGATCATGCTAGCGAAATAAACCAGAAAGAAAAAGAAAAATTCCAGATTGGTCTCAGTCATAGGAGGAATTTAGAAAACCTGAAGAAGGGACCAGGAAAAAGACTAATTAATACAAAGTAAAAATTAAAATCAACAAGTAACTATAAACCAGAGACACACTATGGGGAGGGGGCAGGGAGTAGGATCAAAACATGGGGGATTGGCACCCAAAGCTAGATAAAGAAGAAATAGAACACCTAAACAGACCAATTACAAGCAGCGAAATTGAAATGGTAATCAAAAGCCTCCCCAAAAAACAAAAGCCCAGGACCTGATGGATTTACAAATGAATTCTACCAAAGATTCAGAGACGAATTAGTGCCTATCCTTCACAAATTCTTCCAAAAAATTGAGAAGGAAGGGACAATACCAAACACGTTCTATGAAGCCAACATTACACTAATACCAAAACCGAACAAGGACAACACAAAAAAAGGAAAACTACAGGCCAATCTCCCTAATGAACACTGATGCAAAAATCCTCAACAAAATTTTAGCTATCAGAATCCAACAATGTATCCATAAGATAATTCACCAGGACCAAGTAGGATTCATTCCAGGGTCACAAGGATGGTTTAACATCCGAAAATCAATCAACGTTATCCAACACATCAACAAAAAGAAATATAAAAACCATATGATAATATCAATAGATGCTGAGAAAGCTTTCGACAAAGTGCAACACCCATTCATGATAAAAGCCCTTGAAATTCTTGGGATACAAGGAACATACCTCAACATCATAAAGGCCATCTATGACAAGCCAACAGCCAGTATCATTCTCAATGGTGAAAAGCTGAAAGCAATTCCATTAAGATCTGGAACAGGACAAGGATGTCCACTCTCACCACTGCTTTTCAATATAATACTGGAAGTCCTAGCCAGAGCAATAAGACAAGAGAAAGACATCCAAGGAATCCA